TATCCACTAGGAAAGGCTCTGAGGACTATAGCTGGAGAGAGTAGTACAAATGATTAACAGAAATGTCTGGATTTAGCAATGTTAATAATGACCAAAGGAACATCAAATACTACTTATGTGCAATGTAATTGCAGTTGCAGGGGAAACTGCTTAAGGACACAAGCTTGAAAATCTCATTTCCATCAGCAGAGGTTGTACCTTGACTCTAGTATAGTTAAAAGTAAACTCTATGATGCCTGTAACTGGCAGATGCAAGCAAAACAAGCTCTTTCCCTGTATTTTCAATGTATGTACTGTGCGTGTGACAGCTCTTGTGCCGGGTCAGTGTTGCTGGGCTGTTGGCCCATTGCAATTCCTATCTCATCATTAGCATAGTGAGATCACTGTTCTGCAGGGAGAGCATGTGCATGCTCTGTCTCAAGGACTAGGGGAAAGCGTGAACCGATAGCAGCAGCAAAGCTGAAACAGAAGAGGCAGCTGGTAGGTGTACACTCAGAGGAAAGGAGAAAGCCCAAGCATGTTTGGAGACCACCCAGAAGGCTTTTCTAAATATCAACAGCAGAGCAGTAAACCTTTACAGTGTTTCTTAAAATAGAAATTTTCCAATAATTCGGCCATATAAACTGAAGGGAGATCCTACAGGAAAACTGTTTTTTGCAGTTAGTCAAGTTTAAAAAAAAAAAAAAAAAAAATCAAGTTGACAGTGTCCCTTTTAATTACTGGAATTTCCTAACTCTTGAGAGCTTGACTTTTCCAACTTAACATGAGAATTTAATTTAAAGCACTGCACACCTTCCAGCTTCTGCCATAACTGAGGCAGGGTTCCTGCAGATGACAACTTCATTCACTGCCCAGCCCTGGTTCATGCACAGAGCATGTTCCATCCTGAGCACCAAAGCAGGATTTCTATGGAAAAAACAGTATGGAATCATGTAACTAAAGACTCTGTGACAGTGCATATGCACAAGGGAGATTAATTAAGGCTGCACAAGCAACCTTAATTCTGGCATTTCCTAACTTATAACTGCTTGACTTTCATTCTTTTATCATAGTTCTTTGCGTGAAAGGAACTAGGATTTTTATAAGGAGCACATGGAGTGTGGGGGTACACATTCCATTATGTGGAATCAGATTGACCACAGCAGTGTCGTCTGTGGGGTCTGAATGCAGGAACTTCAGATCACAGCAAAGACCTCTTCCCCTTGAGCTAAAGAAATAACTGGTAGTATTAGTAAGCTATTCTCCTCTGCAGACTAGTCACTCTCAGGAAGAGGACGCATGTTTGCTAGGCATCAGAAAAATGTTGAAAATCAGGATTTATAGGTTCTGTTTTTGGCTTTGGCGGTCCAGTGGTTATAGACTGCATAGCCAAGTACACATTTGGCAGATTCATTCTGAGCTTCATTGTAGATGAGATTTAAATCTGCCATATTGGAGACCTTGATTCTATTCTTATCTCTGCTTGAAGTGTGACCCTGTGCAATGTCTGTAACTTCATCTGTAAAATGGGGGAATATTAGCTTGCCTTACAGGGTAGGAGGTCTGAGGCCTTGTTCAGTATTGAGGGTTGTGAAGTGCATAGGACCAGGCAGTGAAAGAGCTAGTTTTTGTTTAGCTTTTTAAAAAAAAAAAAAAAAAAACTTTTTAATAGTTGACAAAACTGCCCATTTTTTCCCCTAACCTTGTTCTTAAAACTGGCTGATGTTGTTGAAAGTTTTAAAATAAATTCAATCTGAGGCAGAGAGCAAGGTTGAAAGTTTGTCAAGATAGTTAGGCTTGAACTTGTACTCTCTTGGCTCCAAGGCCAGTGTGCACCCTCCTAAGCTAAAAGATATTTTCATGTGGTAGATGGGCAGGCATTTCCCTAGGCTACAACACATTTTGAGGTGGCTGGCTGCTCACCAAAGCTTAGGAGCATGAGCAATGCAATTAGAATACTTAGAATATTAAGGAGCAAGAGAAGAACAAGGTCTGCTACATGTGTTGCAGTGGGTGATTTTCAGAGGCCAAATATCTATCGGTGTCCATGGGGTAAAGCATCTCTCAGGATGACCCACCTGCCAAATTTCAAGTTCCTTCTCCAAGCCAGGGAGGAGCTAGAGTTGTTTAAAAAGTTTAATATTTTTTAATAATTGACAAAACTGCCCATTCTTTTCATAACCTTAAAAATGGCTGATTTTTGTTGAAAGTTTTAATATAAATTCAGTCTGAGGCAGACAGCAAGTTGAAACGTTTTAGTCAAGATTGTTAATGTTGGATAAAGGTTGAAGTACGTACTATCAGAGATTGAAGTGTCAGAAGAGGTGCTAGGGCAAGTTGGTAATTTTAAAGAGCAGTAAGATACCAAGCCCAGTTGGTACATCCAAAAGTTCTGAAGAAGCTTGAGTATGAAATGACTGAGCTGCTAACAATGGCAGGTGCTTGTGCATGTTAGGATACAGAAGGAATGGGATGGAGAATAATGCTGCGAATGTTATAATGTCATTATATAAATCAATCTGGATATTGTGTGCAGCACTGGTCACTTCATCTTAAACAAAGATGATAGAAATAGCCGGAGCTCAGAGAAGGCCAGCGTGAATGCTTAAGGGCCTGGAAAATCTCTCATTTGAAAAGATTGGGATTGTTACCTTGGAAAGCAGATGAATAAGAAGGGATGTGATAAAAGTGCATAAAATAATGAATGGTCTAGAGAAAGTAAATTGGGAACTTTTGTTCTCCCTGCCTCCTAACACAAGACCAAAGGGACATTAAATGAAACATGGAAAAAAGAAAATATTTTTCCACACAGTGCATAATTAGACAGTGGAACTTGCTGCCACGGGATATTGTTGAGGCTAAGAAATTAAGATTCAAAAAGGGATTGAACATACATGAATATCTGAAGCTGCTATAACTAATTCTTACAAAAAAGGCATTGCAGTGGAGATAAAGCCTCAGTCATTAGCATTTAAGCCACTCTCCAATGATCAGGGATGAGGAGACCTTCACTGGGGGAAGATTATGCCTCCTCTGTCTACTCTGGGGTTCTTGCACCTTCCTCCGAAGCAGCTAATGCTGGCCACTGTCATACCCAGGGTACGGGGCTAGATGGGCCACAGGTGTGATCCAGTCTGGCAATTCCTGTATTCTTAAAGTTTGTCAAAATTATAAACAGGTTTATAATGTAAGGTGTTGAACAATCTTATCTCTCGGTACCACAGTGCACTCAGCCATGTTTGTGTAAAACTGAAAATCTCTGAATATAATAAAGCCTCAAATCTCTGGCCTACATATGTGCAATATGGCCAAGTTTAATTGCAGGAGAGACTTACACTTTTTGCATTTCCTGACTCTGGAGTGCTTCATATTATATTAACTGAGAGGATTTCCTAAAGAAAAATCATCCAGATCATATTGATCAAGGAGTTCACAGGTTCAGCCAGCGGAACCCATGATATCATAAACAGGAGTTCTTCATTGTTGGGGCTGTGCTTAATCACTTTCTGACTCAGAAGTTCTCTTTCCTACAGACACCCACCCTTGACAGATCTAATTCAGTCCCCTCCCCGGTGCCAAATGATGCTTGTCGGTTCCTTGCTATGAAACATTCTCATTTGCAGTGCTTGTAAACCCCTATCATTGTGGAGCCCTTAAATGGGAAATCCTTAAAAAGAACCGAAAAATTAGCACATGTGGAGTTGCCAAATGTAACAATGTATAACTCAAACTAATGAACTGACTTCCTTCAAACTTGGCTTGTCTTTTAAGTCTCAGTGAGATCTGCAAAGCAAGCCAAGGCTGAATTTTGCAATAAGAGCCATGCTTGAGTTATCTGAGCACAAAAATTCAGCTTGGAATATAGAAGATCAGTGTTTAGTGTTTATACTTGTGTGATTCAATAATGGCTTAGCTCATTTTGCTAAAGCTTTCCCTCCAAATATTACTTTTGAACTGAGAGAAAGCATGGGAGATCCTAGCCCCAAAGGAATATGTGTTTGAGAAAGTTATGAGCTTCTGGAAAATGTGGGTTGGAAAATAGAATTTAGAACTTTCCCTTTTCTGTAGTGGATGGTACTGGTTCTCTGTGTGATAAATACAGCTTTAGTTGGTGGGATTTTTCTGTTATGAATCATATTAAAAAGTGAAGGGCTTGAGGGGGAAGGACTTGACCAGCTAGGAAACAGAAGCATGGCAGAGCAGGTTAGCTACTTAACAGCTTTTGGGAAAGCCTGCAGCCTGTACTTGATTGTACTTCTGGTGCCGTCCCTTAAGGGGTCTCAGGGTGCTGTTCAAATGCTAATGAATTAAGACTCTCAGCCCCTTGTGTTCCCTCTGTAATACTTTCCTAACTCACAACTTACTCAAGGTTATGTCATGAGCCATAGCAGAGTTGGGAATAGAGTTCACATTACTTCGCTCCCAGTTTTGGGCGTTAGCCAGAACACCACGCTAACGTAGTCAGCAGTGTGTCTCGTCTGGCATGGTGTGACAAGTTGTGACAGTAATCTTTTTGTAGCATGGCATCTATTGAGCTCAGTTCAGCCTTGCTGCTTGTTGCAAGTGGCCTTACGTATGGGCCTGTTCGGAGTCACTAAATGTGTGGAATTTGTGCAGACAGAATTCTCTACTTCTTTCAGCAGGTATTCTGTCCTAGTCTGTCTCCCATCTGTATCTTTTTTTCCTAGTGCTAACAGTTGCATGGTCATTCCAAGGGCATTTTCCTTTTCTTATTCACATCTCTGGCTAAACACAGTGAGGAATCCGAAGGAAAAATGAAAGTGCACTGGGGTCATCCTGGAGCTCACTTTGATTCACACAGGAGTGAAATGCCAGATATTAAGCTGGGATTTATTGCCATCCACAGTCTTCCAAGACAGCCTGGAAAAGCAGAGAGTGCTGGGTAAAAAGTCAACTCTACAGATCTCCAGCAAACTCCACTAAAAAGGATTGTTGGACTCTGAATTGGGGCTGCTGTGAATATCTGTCCATGTAACTCACAAAGCTTATTTTTTTTATAGTGGTGGGGTTATGATCTACATTGACCGAATAGAAGTTGTGAATATGTTAGCACCATATGCAGGTATTTACTCTTTCCTGTTTCATCAAGCAATATTATACCTGACCATGTATGTCTGTTGGGGCAATGGAATAGTCTCCCTAGGGAAGAGGTGGAAGTCCCATTGCATGGGACATCTAAAACTTGCCTGGCCAAAGCACTTGTAAATAGGTTGTATTGAACACTCCTGGGTGAGAGGGTGGGATACACATGGCCTCCCTTCTGTTGGTATGGATTTTGCCTTTTGACCAGGATGTTTTATCTAGTTCTACCTGAGATTCACTAATCTGTGCTGAAGACTTGCACCTTCTCCCAGCCCATGCTCAGACAGGGAAAGCCTTGCTTTCAGAACACTTCAGCACCGAATGCACTCCTCATGTACTGAGCCCTTTGAAAATCTGGCAACTTATTTGTCAGTGGGAGCTGGGCTTTTTTGGAAAACTGGCTCCAATTGTGGGTGTCAACCACTTGTAAATGTGGCCCATAGAGTCCTAATCCAGCTCAACTTCTAGATAGTCCTTCTTGTGAATACCCTAGACTGCTTGGCAGGTGCCCTGGTTAAAGATAATTGAGCCCAGAAGAGAAAAGGCACTGATGCCAAGCTGTCGACAGGGTGTTCAGCACTCGACTGCTGTCACATCCTGCTGGTTCTGCTTCTCTCATGTGTCACTCAGAAGGGGATCAAGAAAGTGTTTGGGCTGAGCTTCCCTGGCTCTACCTGAGGCACATGATTGAGGTATCATTGCCGTAGTACCCTGGTGACTCGAACACAGTACCCACCTACTACACTTGTCCCATTCTAGAGCACTTAGAAGAGTGACCCTACAATGAGCATCTCCAAGTGCTTGAGCTTTTTAAAGCCTTTCCTTCAAGTAGCCTGGCATCCAGCAAAGGCCAGGAAACAGTGAAGAAGGATGGCTTTGTGCTTAAGGCCCTGGACTTGAAGCCAGGAGAACTGGGTTCTCTTCTGGTGCTAACACAGGCTTCCTGTGTGACTTTGTGCCAAGTCCCTGCCTCTCTTTGGCCTCTGTAGGCCACCTATAGCATGGGTAGAATGAGGCTGCACTATCTTGCATGGTGGCTGGGAGATGCCATGGTTAATGTTTATAAGGTGCTGGAGGGTGCTAGAGAAGTTCCGAAAGCTTCATGGAGTGTAGCTCTGTGCAGGTCTTGCCTTGAAATGTGGGGGGCCTTGCAGAAGATGGGCAATCATGTAGACACAGTAGTGTTCTAACCTCATTGCTTGCATTTATTTGCTATGTTGACTTAACATTACTGTAATGGACTTTATACGTGAACAGACAAAATGGTGCCCGCTTTTGAGAGAGTGCAGAGCTAGTGAAGTTACTGCATGTGTTGTTAAATAGGGATGTGCACAGCTGAGGGGACTTTCCTTTCTTGGGAGCAGCATCCTGTTTATCTCCGGTTTATAAACCAGTTACTCTTGGCTTGGTCCTCACTCTCAGGCTGACAGCTGTTTGCAGCCTTCGTCCCTCAGAGGAGTGCATTAAACCTGAGCATTGCAGGAATTGCCTACCTGATTTTCCAGATAGCAGGACAAAACTGAGTATTGCTCACATCAAGTTGCTCCAGACAATTAGAATGGGGGCAAAAGTAGAAAAGCAGAATCTGAATATCTTTATACTACATCAGAGCAGCCGTCCTACAGCAGCAATAGCATAGGTTGGCAATACCACTTCCATTCTCCTTATCCTGATGCTGTTATGGCTCCCCACACCAGAGAATCTGATTCTAACCCCATGTTTCCACACTCCCCCAGACTGGAATTTTCCAGGCATGGTTTGTCCGAAGATGAATGAGCAGGTGCAAACAAACTGTAAAGAGATTGACTGCCTCTTGATCTTGAAATTGTTTGGACTTTGAAATGGCAAGCTTAGTTTGCAAAGAGCCCACATTCAAAAGAACTTAGTTTGCTTAGTTTGGGGGGGCAAAAACTGCAGAACCAGCACATGTAACAAGCTCAGCTACTCAAAAGCTGGCAAAGCTTACAAGTTTTTGAACAAGGTAGAGGAGCTTGTGAAGGCAGCACGCTTGGCCTAAGTCTTCTGTTGCTCCACAGGGTCACCAGTTGTGGAACAGGAAAGTGAAATCCCTGCTGCTGCAGCCTGTGGAACATGAGAGTTCCACAAGAGGAAAAACCTCTGGTTTTTCCCTTCAAAGCAGGGAAACGTAATGCTGGGAACTAGTGTTACTGCAGCATTGAGAAAGGAACACCCACTTGGGTGTTGGGGAGTCACAGCATCTATTAGGCCTGTATTCTGTATTCAGCACTGCCTGTTCCTGTACATGGCTCATGGCAGACTTCCCTGTTTTTTTTGTTTGTTGCAGACCATAAAGCAGGGCTGTGCAATATTCTTATCTGTGCATAATTATCCTACTCTTCTAAGTTTGGTTTGGACAATCTAGAATTGAGGGTATCTTACCTTGTGAGAGTGCAAGGGCTGTTAGAATGGCTATGTAGACTGAAAAGCATTGTTCTCCTGCCGCGTTAGTGTTGCCCTGTGGTAACTCTCTCTTTCCTCAGTGTACGATGTTGTGAAGAACTACACTGCAGACTACGATAAGACCCTGATCTTCAATAAAATTCACCATGAGCTGAATCAGTTCTGCAGTGCACATACCCTCCAGGAAGTGTACATTGAGCTGTTTGGTAAGTATGTGGGGACCAGGGAGTATACAACAAATGGAAGTTTAATTCAGTAGGCAGCTATGCCTCTGCCCACGATTGTCAAGGGTCTCCATTCACAAGTGTCCATTAGGAAGCCAGAGTTGTGCCGAGATCACCATCAAGAACAGTCTCCTTGAGATGGCACAGTTCACTACAGTTATTCGAAGTCCTTATCAATGCAGGTTATTTCATTGTTCATGTGATGTCATATTGTGGGTTTATGGGGGTAACAGTAGCTGTTAACCCAGAACTGAACTTTGGATATAAGATCAAAGCAAAGCCTGTGTAAGTGGTCATACCTGTCATCACTGCAGCAAAAGGAGGCTCCTGGAAACAGATGTTTGGAATGTCACACATTACTCAGACCCTTGCACCATTGCTAAATGAGTCTTCATCACCACCTTGGAATCCTCCTTTGATTTCTGTGTGGAAGAAATGGAAGGGAGTTGCTTTCAGTCCCTTTGCCTCCCCTCTGCTCCTGACCCCAAAATGAGACCCTTTGCCCCTCCCTAGTCTCTTCACAAGTTGCAGGTGTTGGTGTGTCGTGTCTTGGCTTGACACCTGAGTTCTACATGCATGTCACCCATCCTCTACTAGTACCCCAGTCAGGGAAGAGCTTATGAAGCAGCATCTGGGGGATGGTTGCTTTTGGAAGGGCAGGGCAAAGGGGGTTCCTGGCATGGGAAAACTGGCTGGATCAGGACTTGACTCTGTGAATGTAAATCGCTGTGTGCAGCACAGATACGCCAAGGCTGGGTGGGCTCAATAAATATCCACGGTAGAGAGAAGCTTCCAAATGCTATTTGCAGATTATCTTTAAGCCTTTGGAAATTGGCTAATTCCAAAGGAGGAGTGTCCTGGGGAATGATTGATTTCCAAGCCTGCTGGCAGATGGGGATGAGCATTGTTCATCCACAAAGGCTTCCCTTTGCCTCTGTGCTGATGTGCATGGGCCCCTGTTGTCAGCTCGGGCAGTAAAGCTGTAACGGGGGGGGAAGGGCGGGTGTTGTAGAGTGTTCCAAAGATGGCCAGGCTTTGGCTCAATCTTACTTCCCCAGTAGCTTGATTCACAGCTTGGCATCCTTGACAAAGACTTTATTTCCAGCTTCATCCTAGGCCTCATTAGCTGCACTTTCCCCAAAGAGCACTTTGGAGGGGTGGTGGATGGAGAAGTAGATTGTACTGTAGGTGGGTCCTGATCTCTCCAGAGCCTCGCAGGTTTAAGGCCAGAGCATCAAACTGGCATTGGTGTCAGTGTGACAAGGGATGGTGGAGGGCAGGCTTGTGCCATAAGTTCCACGTGGTATTTCCTGCTGCGGCATTGAGTTGGGGCAGTCTGCACAGAACAGTCAGTGTCTTGCGTCTACCATCAGCACTGGCTGCAGTGAGTTTGCTAGTGGGGGAGCCAGCCTGGAAGCAACCAGCCTGTGAATCACTGTGTCGAGGTCTCCTCCTGGAGAGGTGAGGGGGAACAGGGTTTCCAGTGAGTTGTCGACGGATGCAGGCATTTCTCACTGTGCTGTTTAAAACTCAGTGCTGAAAGTCCCAGAGAACAGCAGGTGAGAGGGACATTCAGCATCAAACTAAACATAGAGGTTATCTCTAAAAAGCATACATATAGAGCTCCCACTGCCACAGTGGCTGGCCTCCATGTGGTGCAGCGGTCCAGGCACTGGGCTGGCAAAAGTATGCCCATGACCCCAAGTGTGCACATAGCACTGTGGAATCAGGAGGCAGGCAGCATATTGCAGGGGTTTGCAAAGTTCTTTATCCTTATTTTGTACTGTCTGGATGGACCTCCCCTGCTGAGTGATGTATTGACACTAATCACTACATGCACGTTAGCTAAATTTTACAGCGCAGGCTGCAGTGTTGCTGAATCTCTCTTGTCCCTTGAACACAGATCAGATTGATGAGAACCTGAAGCTGGCCCTGCAAAAAGAGCTGAATGTCATGGCGCCAGGTCTCACCATACAGGTAGGCTCCTTCCTAAAGGGAAACTCTTCTATATTTCACTCCCATAAAGCCTACAGTTGAGAAGGGATGGAAATGATTTCCTGCCTCCACATTTCATATGGCTTTCAATTAAGTACTGGGCACATGCCAATGTGCTCTCTGGGAGGAACATCTTCTTGTTCCCCAGGCCAACTGCCACCGCTTCTGTACAACCTTCAATGTGATTACGTGGATTACATTGAAATGTGCAGCTGCATCTAGCAGAGAAGTGTTGTAATTCCACGGGTCAGCTTCCCCAGCATGGTTTTGCATAGAAGCATTCTTTCTCAGCAGATTTTCAAAGCTTGGGCCATTCTAGCCACCTCGGCTTTTCCCAAAACCCATTTAGGATTTAGATGTTGCCCTTTTTTCCATGGAAAACTTGTCATGATGGTTAGAAAAGAGAAACTATGTGAAAGAGAGAGAAGTGGTCCCTTCTTTCTGCACAGATCTGCATGTATTAGAGTTATATCTGCAAACATATTAGTGACAAAAATAAGTTCTTACTACTTCTATCATCCCTGCAGAGCCAACCCAGCTCTGAGAGGGTGAGCGGGAGTCTGTCCCAGCTTACTCATTATCAGCACACTTGTTAAAGGTAATTTGAACAGGAGAAAATTGGGCTTGTTCCTCTTGTGTGTCTTTGTCATGTGTACAGAGGGAGGCTGTTTCCAAAAGACTTTTTTCTGCTTGCATTTTACATTAGAAATCAGGTTCCATCTACGCTGGGAGACTCTGTGATGGCTGAAGAACCTGTGAGCAGTCACTTGAGAGGCCCCCATTCTGACACCCCATCACAAGAATTAAACAAGTGAAAGTTGAGCTGGTGGGAGGGGTCAGACTCATTCTACTTTGCTTGTTTTTGTTACCAGATTTAACTTGTCCAATTAATATTTTGAGTGGAGGGAGCCTATGTTAAAAAAAATCTATGGCCTCAGCCCTTCCATCGGGTGTGAAGAGATCACAAAAAACATCCTTCCACCTCACAACTTGTCTTTGCGATTGCACAGTCCCTGTAGAGAGTGACAGATTGTGGTAAGCATCATGTCACAATCAACTTTGGAAGAGCCCTGAGGCCTTGCCTTTCCTAACCACCTAAGCCATCCAGATTTAACAGGCCTGATATTTTTAAGGTAAAAAACAAGCAGGAAAAACCCTCTTTAAGTTTTAAAAACCAACACTTTCCGACCCTCTGTATCCACCAAAAAGGGTACAAGCACGGGTTTAAAAGTTCTTTGCAGGTCACCATTAACTGAATTTAAATTGCAGAACTAAATCCTGTTCTCAGACATGTGCTATCCTATTGAAGACAACTGAGGATAGCTCTCAGCCTGCAAGATCTTTGTTACTCCTTAGGAATTGGAAGGCAGCCAGCTTGACTGAGCCCAAACTGAGTTTGCAGGACCTGCAGTTAGAAGTGACATTGTTTAACTTGTAAACTAAGCACACTTCATCTCGAGTCCTGCCTGGCATTTTCAGTCCCTTCTCAGAATAGCATTGCATTTTAAAGTCTCTGGTATAATGTTCCTTACTGTGCAACTTGCCCATTATTCTGTATCCTGTGTCATTTAAGCCATGTGCTCACTTGGCTAAGGTTACATCAGGATTTTTAATAGAGCCCTTTATGTACAATGGCTTGTAGCTTTCTAGGCTGAAATTACATGTGCTAGGCAGGGGAGTGAGCTCTCTGTTTTGATGGCCACTCCACTTTACACTGTGTTTCACCATGAGGCCCCATCCCAGCTTCATGCCTAGGATGGTCTCTCCTATCTCAATGCATTTCCCTTCCTATGTTCTTCCCCAGGCCTCATTCCCATCCAAGGGCAACTCTTTATCCATACAGATGTAAAGAGCGTGTTCTGTTATCTGGAAAAGACCAAATCCTTTAGAAAATGCAGTAGTTTATTTGTAGCATATAAGGAGAGATGCCATGAAGGAACCCATTGATGAACAGACACTTGCACTGGGTTAGGAGATGACTAGAACACTCATATATCTTAGCTAGGGAACCAGTACCCCGTGGTTTAAAGACCCACTCCATGAGAACCACCACAGCAGCAGCGATCTGCCTTAGGCAAGTTCCCCTGCTGAAGACTTGCACAGCAGCAACTTGGAGTTCGGTGCACACTTTCGTCAGATGCTAGTCTCAGATTTAGCACTATGCTCCAGTGCCGAGTCCGGGAGAGCTGTGCTGTCGTCCATATTTAGCTAAGGACCTGGTGGAGCTCTGCTTGCTAATCTCCCACAAGAGGAATGCACAGAGGCCCTTAAAGAAGTGAAACGTTACTTTCTAGTAACTGTTCTTGGAGAGCTGCCAGTGTACAACCACACTGTCCTGCTCTTTTGGGTTTTTCTGAAGGATAAAAGTTACACATGTGAATGTTGCCGACTCCCTTCCAGTTGGCTTTGTTGGGGAGGGGAGTTCTGAAGAGGGAATGCAATGAGGAGAGCAGGATGACTTGGCAGACCAGAGTATGGAGGGAGTTATGTGTATGAGGGCAGCTCAAAAAGAGGCAGAGAAACAGGGAGACAGTGGAGGGGTTCAAAGGGGGTGACCTTTTCAGAGTGACCACATAGGTGGAGATACGCTATTCTCAGTGACGACTTGTTGTAGGAAAGGAACAGAGAAGCTGAATGGAACCACCAACCCGTAAGTCACTTTCTGAACCTCACATAGTGATGTCCAGTGTCTAAGTGCTGCTGGCATGAGATTTAGAGCTTTCTCTACTAGATGACACTGCCTGGATCAGGTTATCTTGGCAGAATAAATTGCGTTCCTTGCAGGTGGTTTCCCAGCTGTGCAGTTCTAATTGTAGAGAGTCTAATTGTAGAGTGTTTTTAAATGACTTTGGCTTCTTTTTCAGGCTGTGCGTGTTACAAAGCCCAAAATCCCAGAAGCCATCCGAAGAAACTTCGAACTAATGTGAGTAGTTGCGCAGCAGATCCCATTGTTTAGCAGGTTCATGCTGCTTACAGCAACTAGGGTGTGTAACAGTCCCAGAATGTGCTCTCAGGGGGAGTGGTGGGCAGTTGGTGCCCAGGACCGCATGGAAGGGTCCAAACTTCTTATTCCTCACTGTGTATTTGTGGAGAAATTCCGTGGAATTGACTAGAGGAGGAGGCTCTTCCTCTTACCATCCTCTTCTGTTGCTAGAACTTAACTCCTGCTGGCAGCGGGCAAAGACACTCGAGGAAGGATCTCCTTCCCTATCCATGGGTAACAGAACTGATCTCAGCAAAGCTCTAGTGGTTTCATATGTATTGAATTAGACTGGGCTCTTCTATCTCACTGCAGCAGTGTGCTGAATGCTGTATCTGCTGAGCATGCTTTGTGAGTGTCCCCTCCCTGGCGGGAGGAAAGGCCGAATTGGCTTTATGGGACCACTGGCTCAGATGTAAATGGAGATTGCCAAGGACTCAGGTGCAGCAAAGTGGGGCTCTTCTCTCACTGTTCTCTCCTGTTCCTCTGAGGAGATAGATTCCCCCTCCACAATTTCATGTGGAGATGAAGTTTGAACTGGCTTTTTTGCCTTCCTGGTTGGTGCATCATCTTTCAAACCATTAGCAGCTGCTGCAGGACCAGAGGAGGGAGCCCTGGAGATGGCTCATTTGCCTCCCCCTCCCCCCGTCCCCCTCTGTGTGTGGAAGAGCAAAGCAGCTGTGAAGGTGTCTGTAGGTGGATGGTGATGCAGAACTGGTCTCTACTTGTTTCTGTGCAGATTGCAACTCCAGCCATCACAAAGCTCCCTGGAACTTGTCTGGGAGGGTTTAGCAGACTCAAGACCCATCTGATATTGTCCATGCAGGAGCCTGCTTTCTAGAAATTCCCTCAGGACTCTGAGGGAGGATCACACTGTGCTGCTTCCCCTGCATGCTGTCCTTTTCCCAGAGGCACTGTTAGGTGCAGAGCTGAGGCATGGGAGCCATTCAGGGTTCACGTTAGCTAGTCTATAGCATGAGGTTAAACTGCTGATCATAGTTAACACTCAATCTGCCCTTGCTTGGGGGTGGGTCGTGTCTGCAGCAGCTGCACAAGGGCAGTCTTTGGTGTTGGTGGGCACTGGTGCTGGGGTGGTGGGAAATAGATGAACCCAGGAAATTGCCTCCAGAAAGGGGTTAGGTGGCTGAAATAAGGAGAGCAAAGATACACAAGGCCAAGCAGAATGTAAGGACAGCAGGACCAATAGAATAAGCGAGGTGCTTAATCCCAGGCATGGGTAGGAGAATGTTGGACGACAGTTCTTGCACGCGCGTGCACACACACGCCAATCATTACGCAGACCATGTTCCCATCTGTGTAAGAAGGCCAGGTGGAAGCTTTATCTGGCTGTGGGCTGTGCTCCCCTTGGGACCAGCACACACTCCATATCATGGCAGGATAGGGTGACTTGGCAGTGTTGCCCACTTTTGCAATTGTATCACAAGTCTTGTGATATTTTCTGTTTTCCATCAAGCCCCAGCTGCTGGAGTCATGTGATCACATGAGAATTTTGGCTTAATTACCAAAAAGTAAGTTTCTAGCATTTGTGGTTGTGAAGGAAAGCTTGAAAATGTGACACTGATGCAGCCCTGTAGGCTAAGGTATTGGACTGCAAATAAACCCAAAACTTATTAGTGAAAACAGATCAGTATTTTTAAATGAAATTTCAAGACTTTTTGAGATCTGACTTGTAACTTTTGATAATCTGGGGTTGGCGGTGCTACATATGTGCTCCCATCACCAGGGCCATCTTTGAGCCCCTTGCAAACATTCATTGTTATCTTCACAGACCCTCAGGAAAGTTGGGCAGTGGTGTTATCCCCAACGTACGGATGGGAACTGAGATGCATGGAGTCTGGCAGAGCCAGGAACCAAGCCCAACTCTCCTGAGTCTTGAACAAATGCCTTAATCGTTAAGGCAGATGGTGGGTGGTGTTAGTAAAAAGTTTGGGAACCACTTTCTTCACCACCAGACCATCCGTCCACTCCAGCAGCCTGTGTCACAGGGATCCTCAGAATCCTCAGAGAGCAACAAACTCGTGGTGAGGGCAGTCTGGGGCTCTGAACCAACGCATGAGATGACAGCTAGCCTGAATGTTTAGTGTGAACACATTTAGAGGAGTCCCAATAGTCAGCCCTGGAACTTCATCTTCCCCTGAGTCCATATATGCCCCCTTCTTAAAACTCCTGGGCCCATGGTCCTGGTGTGAATCCTGTGTTCTAACCACCATCCTTTGAAGCAGAGGACTGCTTGGCCTCCCCTTAAAAGAGCTCCTTAATTAGCCACAGATCTCTTGTCCTCTAGGCTCATCAGGTTTTCTGTGTCACTGCCCCGAACTCCAGTAAGAGCATTGCATGGAGGTCCCTCAGACAGCCAAAGTAGCTGTCTGTGCCATGTGGATGCAGCTGAGCTCGCTGGTAGACACCTTACACGCACCTGCAAGAGATGATTGGGGTCAGGAGAAGTTCAGTGCATGGTGAAGTTCCTGAGTTTAAATCCTATTTTAATATTTTGCGTCAGCTGCTTTATTCTTAACCAGTCTGTTGTTTGTGCCCTTCTCAGATCTCTAGCATTTTGAACTTCTCTCCCCTTTCATGTGCATCTTCAAACAATGAAAGCTCTTCCATTTCCTTCGCTCGTGTTAGCAGGAATATACTCGGTGCTTGGGCTGGTTGTTAATTGCATCTACCACAGCTAGCAGAGAGCAGGAGAATGCAAAGCAGTGACATCGTAGGTCCTCACATAGGGTTGCATGCTGTCTTTTTGGTAGAATAGTGGAGTGGAGAGTTGAAGCAGGTTATCTTGGAAGGGAGCTAACTGGCTTTGGCTCCACTTGGTCATGTGGATATGATGCTGATTTGCCCAGGTTCACATCTGAAAGCCAGGAATAGAGAGTACCCTGTATTGAAGGGGCATTGTCGCCTCATTGTCAGGACATGGTTTAGTCTTGGGGTCATTAGGGAGCCTTGGCTTCCTAGGTGACAATGGTGGCACAGCTGCAAGCATCTTTTCCAGAGTAACTGACCCTTCCGGCCCAGAGGCTCTGTCACTGCAGTGTGCTCTACCTTGGAGCAGTCCCGGAAAAGCAGTGTGGTGCTCTAGTTAGTGCAGAATGCAGTAACTTGTCATTTGAGTGGAGTACTTGTTTGTGTAAGCTCAGTGCCCTGTCCCAGGTACTGGCTGCCAGTGTCCAGGTGCAGGTCTTTGATCCGTAAAGCCTGCAGTGGTCTAGGATACACTTCCTAGGAATCTCCACCCATAAGTCATGTCAATTACAAACCACCCTTGCTGTTTGGTTCAGGATGGGCAGCAAGACTTTCTCATGCAGGATACAGAGTCAGACTCTTCTGGCTGATGCCCTAGATACGGTCTCCCACAGTATTCTTGCCGGCAAGTTAAAGTAGTATGGGCTGGATGAATGGACTATAAGGTGGATAGAAAGCTGGCTAGATCGTCGGGCTCAACGGGTAGTGATCAACGGCTCCATGTCTAGTTGGCAGCCGGTATCAAGCGGAGTGCTCCAAGGGTCGGTCCTGGGGCCGGTTTTGTTCAATATCTTCATTAATGATCTGGAGGATGGCGTGGACTGCACTCTCAGCAAGTTTGCAGATGACACTAAACTGGGAGGAGTGGTAGATATGCTGGAGGGTATTGGACATTGGTGAGGCCTCATCTGGAGTACTGTGTCCAGTTTTGGGCCCCACACTACAAGAAGGTTGTGGAAAAATTTGAGAGAGTCCAGCGGAGGGCAACAAAAATGATTAGGGGGCTGGAGCACATGACTTATGAGGAGAGGCTGAGGGAACTGGGATTGTTTAGTCTGCAGAAGAGAAGAATGAGGGGGGATTTGATAGCTGCTTCCAACTACCTGAAAGGGGGTTCCAAAGAGGATGGATCTAGACTGTTCTCAGTGGTACCTGATGACAGAACAAGGAGCAATGGTCTCAAGTTGCAGTGGGGGAGGTTTAGGTTGGATATTAGGAAAAACTTTTTCACTAGGAGGGTGGTGAAGCACTGGAATGGGTTACCTAGGGAGGTGGTGGAATCTCCTTCCTTAATGGTTTTTAAGGTCAGGCTTGACAAAGCCTTGGCTGGGATGATTTAGTTGGGAATTGGTCTTGCTTTGAGCAGGGGGTTGGACTAGATGACCTCCTGAGGTCCCTTCCAACCCTGATATTCTATGATTCTATGATCACTGCAGGTGCAGAGGGCAGGTATCTCTGCACTCCACCCCTTTCATGAATTTAGTGCTTCCATGTAATGAGGGTCCCATGTGCAGAGGACCATTCAGGGCCATCTTTAAAACAGTAACTCCTCCTTCCCTTGCTAAGCTTGTACTGGGCAGAGCCTCAGGGAGGGCTCGGTTAACCTCCCCTTTGCTCAAGCAGTCAGCTGGCCTCCAGTTGTGTCTCGTGGAGTAAATCCCTCTAATTGGATTCTGATTAACTTCCACATTGGACTCCAAGGGCAGCCTGTGGTGACACAGCGACCACCAGTTAAGGGCAGCACAAAAAAGCCAAGGAGCAAAAGCAAAATCCCAAATACACAAGCAAGCTGCTCCTATTCTGCAGCCAATTTATTGGAGTTTTTAACAAGTAAAGTAAACCTGCAGTTCACCCTATATTCCCCAGACATACTCGTCTGTATGCTGTCTGGTTGTTCTGTACCTGCAACTCCGTGTCTATCCCACCTGCACTCAACTGCTCCCCTTTGGGATGGTGACATTGCGTGCTGTGTTTATTCTAAATCTACACCCTGAAGGCTCACTTGCAAACTGTTTTGTGGTGCAGGGAGGCTGAAAAGACCAAACTGCTCGTAGTAGCACAGAAGCAAAAGGTTGTGGAGAAGGAGGCGGAGACGGAGAGGAAGAAGGCTCTCATAGGTATGTTGAAGAGTCATCGACACACAAGCACTACCAAGGGCTAGTGTCTTCAGATTTCATCTTCTCACAAGCTATTACTGGAGTGGACTAGGACAGAACATCCCAGCTAGGCCCTTTTGACAGTCTGCTGTCCCTAGCCAAGCAGGAACAGGCTAGATCACTAGTTAGGTGGGAGACGTCCAGGGTAAATCCTGCAGCTGCTGATTCAGTAGATGAGGCGCCTCCCTCTGAATCAGCACTGACTCCCTCACTGGGGACAGCAGACCTCTGAGCACCTCATTGCAAGGCTGTATTGCACCCTGCAGCAGTCGGTGCACTGGCTACCAGTTTTTGTGGTGATGCTGCTTCTGACCATTCAATGATACAGTGGGGCCTGTTATTGCCCAGTGGACACATGGTGCAGAAGCACGTTATCCTATGAAGCCGTGTGTTTAACTTTCGCAATTTTATTCTCTCGTCATGTCAATACAGTTTGTGTTATGCTGATCCAGTCCCCCAGTGGCGTTAGAGATGCTGTGCTGATGGGGGGGCCATCTTTCAGAGGGGTTGTAAAACCAAGGGCCTACTCCTGGGGGTCACGGAGTATCACCTGGTCCTTTTGGAAAGGAATTGAGAGCAGCCCCAGTGGCCTGGTCCTACTCTAGTTCAGGGATCATATGCCACTTCCATGAATGATTCCCCTTTGTAAAGTGCTGCATTGTGGTGCAGGACAGGGGCGTAAAAGCTCGCTAGAGTTCTCAACACCTCTCCCTTGGAAGCTGCTTAGAACTTAGAGACGTTCCTTTTGAAGTGAAATTCTTAGTTGTTTGGCTTCTACCCAACGTGTGTGCATCGCATCACTAAACAGTTTGTTTTCAGTACATTGTAAGGGCATTTGGAATGGGGCTGCGTACTGCACTGGGGACACTTGTAAGCCAGATCAGTCCTTGGACTGGAGTCACAAGCTGTCCTGGTGAAAGTGGCTGAGCTCTGCAGGCTGAATGTCTCCACACCAAGGAATTTTGTAGGCTGTAAGTTACTGGTAGCACTACCCGCGTGAAAGGTGGCTGAGTTACTGCGGTGCTACAACCCATCACTGTTGTGTTTCCTGATCGTGCCACCCGAATGTAACACTGTTAATTTGTGAAGCACCTTGAGGGGATGGAAGAAGTGAGCTGTAGGGATAGCCTGGTACTGAGCCTCCTATCATCAGCAATCAGTGCAGTCCATTCAAAACTACTGTTCACATGACTGGGCTGGGATGCTGTGGCCACAGGTGCTTGAGCTGGTATTGTCTGAGCTGCTGTTTGTAATTGCAGAAGCTGAGAAGGCGGCTGAGGTGGCCAAGATTCATTATCGACAGAAGCTTATGGAGAAGGAAACAGAGAAGAGAATTTCTGAGATTGAAGGTAACTGGAGCTTGAGTAGTGACGCTTCTCCTCTCTCTCTTCCCCCCCCCCCTTTTCCCTCCCCCAACGCTAGCTGTTAGCACAAGGTTTCCAAGAGGCACCCCCGCACTTCCAGTAACTATAGGTGGAGGAGAAACCTCAGCCTGGGGATCCTAGGTACTATCACAGTGCAAATAATAAACCTCACACAACTGTAGCTCTTAACTGTGAGGTTGAATTCTCCCCGAGTGTTTCACAGCCAGTGATCTCCTTACATCACAGTCCCAGGGGGCCTGTAGTAATGTTGCTACTGCAGTTCTAATACTCTTTTCTATTTGACTTTCTCTTGCTGTTAGATGCTGTTTTGCTAGCAAGAGAGAGAACAAAAGCTGATGCAGAATATTACACGGCTCGGAAAATGGCTGACTCTAACAAGGTATGGGGAGTGTTTGGAACAAAGTGACCCAAAGCTTAGACTTGCTTAGTCTCTTCGCTCCACCGAGGAAGGGGAGGGCTCCAAATGGCGAGTGATATGGGAAGGTTTGATTTATCTAATATCAATCCAGTTTTCTGGTGCAGGGATTTAAATCTTGACCACAAACCCCCGTTGCTGGGTGCGGGGTGAGAGGGGACTTGTGGGGATAAATCCAGTGATGTCTGCATGAGAACGTTGCCTCTTATGGGATCTGCTCTCTCGCTCTGTATAGCTGAAACTCACGCCAGCATATCTGGAGCTGAAGAAGTATCAGGCCATCGCTGCCAACAGCAAGCTGTATTTTGGTAACAGCATCCCCAGCATGTTTTGGGATTCCTGCACCTTCAAACATGTGGCTGTGAGGACCGTGCCAGAAGCCAGCCTCCTTTCAAAGGAGGATCCTGCACTCTCTGGGGAAAGCCACCTCAAAAAACCAGAGAGCACAGGCTGATGCAAGAGGTGGAAAAGCTTCAGCAAGCTCTGGAAGAAGGGGCTGCATCATGCAGACCAGTGTCCTTCCCTAGTGTGCTACAGGGGCGCTGCCTGCCCTCTGCCATGCCCCAGTGGGGCGGACACAGCACACACAGCCTCTTTCTACACAGATGTGACAATTGGGTTGATTTCTTTAAGCAACAACTGTGTTGAGGGCTCTGCCTTTCCCTTTTCTCACTCCCTGTTTGTGCTGGTGCTTCCGAATGAGGGACAATCCTGTACTTAAACCTGCCTATACTGGAATATTAAAGGACAGAAGCCAGGGAGCCTTCTGCAGGAGGTGCAGTTCTTTAGAAGGCCTGTGTTCTGCATTACCCTTGCGGCAGGAGGTTTGGCCTAGGGGTCCTCGAGGGTGCTGGGTGAGTGGGATGGAAATCCTGGTCGTTTTGCTGCCCACGCCCTGAGGCTGGTCCGACTCGTTAACCTCCCTCATACTGCTCTTAGGCCTGTTGCTCATCTAGATGTAAACTTAATTTCTTCTTGTAAAATGCTACTGACTTTTGTCTGGTTCAAGCCTCACCATACACACCTGCTCAGATCCCTAGAGGCCAGAGGCCCAGCTAGGATGGGTTTGGTGACAAGTAGATTTTTTTTTTTTTAATAGGAACCATAATAGCTCTAATCCTTTCTGTAGATAGCAACACTAACTGCTGTGAACTCGGAACTAGTCTATAATGGTAATGCCGTGCTAGCTGGGCCGCCTGTCTCCTTAGCTGCCCTATGTGCAGTGAAGATAGTGTTCCGCTCTTTGGTGCTGTATGGCTCTGTCTCCTCCCATCCAAAGATGCGGATTGAGGAGCAGGCAGCATATGGCGCCAGGTACTGAGGGCAAGGGGACAGACTTGTGAAACCTGCCCCAAGCACATACGCCTCTGCCACCCCCCCAGCCTCCTCCCAGTTAGCTGTGCCTCCTCGCCCTGGGAGGTTTGCTACCTCTGCATCTGGCAGACAAAGGGAGGAGAGCAAGTGCAGATGCAGGACGCAGCGCTCCCAGGTCTGTGATAAAGTGCCATGTTTACACACCCACACCCCCTCCCTCCCTCTCAGTTGGCTGTCCTGCTGTCCAAGCAGGGAATGGGCTCAACCTGCTGCTTCAGCTCAGTCTTGCTCCACCACGTCCGCAGCTCTGCCCCAGGGTCCCAGCATCAGGCGGCTGAGCTTCTGGGGTGGGAGCTCTGCAGCAGCAGCTCCCACCTGGAGTCGTTTAATTTGGGGGCATTCTGGTTTTGAATGAAGTATTGTCGCTTCCCCAGAGAGCAGGCGCTCAGTGTGAACAGCTCCTGTCGCCCAACCCATTGTCTGTCAGCATTTTTGACCATCCGTAATGTCATCAACTGAGCAGTGCTGCTTCTTGGGATGCTGCCTGCTAGCTGCACAGGAAAGAAGCCCCCTGCTGGGGATACTGTGCTACATCTGCTGTCTGCCCCTTGACCCACTGCCCTAGGGTGGGGGGAATTCCTACAGGAGCTGTGCTTGGTGTAGTCTCCTCCCCTCCCTTCCAATGGTAGGGCCACTGTTCAGGTGGTATTTCACATACTGTTGTGTAGACACTTCCTTTTTAAGTCCTGGAGTGTGTGTGAAGGGGTGGGGCTTAGATCACTGGGGTTGGTTCCAGAATTTCTTGCCTCCCATCTGGCCCTGACCCTGCTCTGCTAAGGTGGAAAAAGAGCAGCCTCAGCCACCACAATTGGAGTCTACGTGCTCGTCCCACCCTGCTGGCTCCGAGGGCTGCACCAGCCAACTCAGCACTGCGGGTGCTTCCCAGAGATGCTGGGTACCTGCATCTTGCCCTGCAGTTGACGTTGCAGGGAGCGTGGAGCTGGGGCTTGCCTGGGGAGGGGGCCAGACCCGGGACTTGGGGCTTGTCTGGGGAACGTGCTCTGTATTTTTTCCTGAATGCTAATAATTTACCTTGTTCTCTGAAGTATTCAATTCAAGGTTTAAAAACCTGAACCTGCCTTAGCACCTGCTGATGGTCTCCTGAGTGGGAACAGGGCTCTCACCAGGGACTGGCCCCCACACTGATTTTTGTGCCGATTTAACTATTTTACTCGGGGAGGTTGGGGGGAGTGTTTCCCCGGTTGAAATAGTTAAATGAGTGTGAGCCCTCGTGTGGGCGCTGTTACACTGGTGTGAAGGTTCCCCTTCCTCTGCAGGACTAGCAGTACCGCTCCAACCTCCTTTGTCTGGGTATAGTTGTGGCCACACTCAGGGAGTTGGCCTGCTCTGTCTTACTGTGAGTGGGGTACAATTTGTATGTGGACAGGGCCTGAGGCTTGGCGCTTTGCTTCTGGCATTTCTGTTCTTCCTTGTGTCTGCAGATCTTATGTGGCCAAACGGCTGTTCTCTCCTAGGCATTGCTCCCACGCTGTGCTGCCTCGCTCCCCTGGGGGACAGATGCCCCCTTTCTACTTCGCAGCATGTGCCCTGTGAGTCTCACTGGAGCTAGCTATTGTTCTCAACCCACTGCCCCTTCTGCAGCGTTTCTGCCTTTGCTTTGTTCAGCCGGAGTGCATCATGCATCTCTTGGAGGATGTGTCCCAGCATGAATACAGTGTGCTTTACAGACCTGTTGCTCTGCATCCACTTTGCTGTTGGCTTGTCAGCTGTTTGGGGTGCACTCCCTGGCTCCCATTTAGTTGCTGCAGCTAGAGTATTCTCTTGCCCAGATACTTTCAAGCTAGTACCAATAGGAAGGGAAGGCCCTGTGACTCCCTGTGCATTGGGCTGTCAGCATTTGCTTTGCCAGTCTCTTAGAGCCCAGCTAGGGTGGGAACCAAGGAACAATTAGCCACCGGAGGATTAAAATGCCATGCAGCCTCCTGGAGCCAGGCAGCAGCAGAGACGGCACTTCATCTTGGCTGGGAGTTTGTGCACTCCTGCAGTTTCTGGGGTGAGGACAGACGAACGTTACCATAGTGCCATTGGCCCCTTGCCCCACTGTGATAAGATGGGAGAAGAGCAGGCTCATCCACCAGAACTGGAGTCTACATGCTCATCCCACCCTGCTGGCTCCATGCTGAGTTGAATGGCACAGTCCTGCCAACAGCCCCCTGGCAGTTCCACCATCTCGTGGAGAGAAGCCAGGCATTGCCAAGCAGCCTGTGGCCAGGTGGACTTGTCAGAGACTTTGAAATAGCAGCCTCTGAATCTGCATCCTGGCCAGGGAGCACTCGCCTGCTCTGTTGTTGAAGGTCTGCTAGGTGAGATGGCCCTGAGCCCCCTGCTGTAATGACCAGCAGCCACAGCACACTGGGGGTCTCACCCTTGACGAGTGCTGCAGAGGCCGCCCGGCAGAGCCAAGGTTGGAGGGAGAGGGCTGCAGGTGGTCCTGGGGAGGTACTCCTAGGCAAGGACTGGCCAGGAAGAAGATTGGACCAAGTGGCAGTAAAGGTTGACTGAGTCAGGGGCTTGGAGTGAGGACTGGTCAGGAAGGGCCTTAATAAGGCAGACAAGAGCTTGTCTTAGATGTGGTAGTGAAAGGGGAGATAGTGGAGGGGCAGAGTGGGTGAGATGGAGTCTGATGAGTCGAGAAATTGATTTTGTAGCCACGTTCTGCATTTGTGTAAGGGGGATGAGGTGAGAGGGGAGGAGACTACCAAGACAGAGTGGATCATAGGACAGTTCAGGGTGATGTTAGTGGTGATGATGGTTTAAATTTAGTTTCTTGCATTTAGAAAGATTCTGCCTGATTGAGAGATTTCCTTCAGCTTAAAATGGGGACAGTTTCCAGTCTCCCACACTGTACTGGGCACTGCCCTCTAGAGATGGCTTTGAGGAGTAACCAATTCCTGCTCCCTGCTATTAAGGACAGTCACTGCCCTGTGCTTATGGCCTCAGCCAATTAACTGCTTTTAGCTAAAGTAGCTGTGTCCTGTCCAATGTCCAGGTTGCAAAGAAGGCTGCTGGAATGGAAGAACCCTTAGGAGAAGGGTTGAGGGAGAGGCCTGTCTCACCTGCCTCCATCCTGATCTATTCTTCCCATGTAACCCTCCTCCCTGTGGCCAGTTCCTGACATGTGGCTCAAGCCAGGAGTGTTTGTAGCCAAATGTGAGACAATGGCAAACCCCTTAATGCAGTGCTGAAGAATAGGTCGTGTGAGCAAGGGGGTGCAAGTTGCTCAGGCTGTGCTTCACCTTGTTCACACCAATCAGTTCACTTAGACGTCACTTCTTGGGCTCAGGCCAAAATTGGTGTGTGAGAGGGGAAGGGAGGGGTGTCCCCCGTTGGCAACAGGTGCTGGCTGCAGTGTGCTAGAGCCCTCATCGTCTCTCCTCAGCCCAGGCCAAATGTCTCCCTTGCTGCCCCAGGGCTGAGAGGGGAGTTTAGTCTGGCTCAGGCCTCTGCTGAGACTGCTGGCTAGCAGGGTAGACTGGTTGACATCTTTGACTCTGCCCCAGGGAATTACTCTCTGTGCCCTCCCATTTCCCCAGGTTGCTAAGCACCCATCAGCTAATAGCTTGGTATCAGCACCCCAGCCATGGGCCAAGCATCTGCTTTCAAGGTCTCTGTGCCCCAGTCCAAGTTCTGAGCTGTCCAGTTTCCCAGCTGTGGGCTACACTAGTCTTCATTCCTGGGGCCTGCACTGTGGCAGGAGAGCAAGGTCACAAGTACAAACCGTACAAGCTATGACTGAACAAGCATCTGCTCCAGCTGTTTGAAAGTCTGCTGCAGGCACTGGTGCTTGGCAGCTGTGAGCAGGGTTCTGTGCCCAATGGAGTTCTCACTGACTGAGTCTGAGTGGGAGCTTGGTGTCTAAGGGATGATGGCGTAGCCTGCACTCTCGGGTGGCTAGGGGTACAAGGCCTATGCGTTGCTGTAAGAGCGGACTACTTCTCCAGCTCCAGGAGGCAGGCAACAGCGCACAAAAGCACAATGGCTGGCTCTATAGCCAATGGGTGATGCTAGATTCAGGGTGCCTACAGCAAACAGCCCCTTTGCCTCAAGAGGGGAGGTGCTCCCTGGGCAGTAATGATCCTTCCAAACTTCTGTTCACTTGGGGCCTCAGTCTGCTGCCAAGGAGGGAGCTGCAGGTTGGACTTGGCCCGTACAGCCCAGCTGGGCTTTAGATGTGCTCTTTATCTGGCTTGGAATGTATGCATCAGATACTCACTCTCCCTTGCTTGGTGCATTCTGCTTTTTGTACATTTCTCTTTAAGGAGTGCCTGAGGCTGTTCCCAAGGGTTCATTGTCCCTTGGCAATACTTGATCAGTACTTGCTGCACTAAACAGAAATCTCCTGTTTTCTTAACCAACATTTTAGGCTCCACATTCTGATCACTTTTACCTTCTCTAAAATACTGTCCATGACATGCTGGTCATAAGTGAGACAGTTGGCTTGATCAGCATGGGTCACTTGTGCATTACAGTTCAAATTCTCACAGGGCTCATGGGCTGGAAATTACCTGTTCGAAAATGAATTTTGAAGTGTCCACATTTTGAGATCATAAACAACTTTCCCTCCACGAGCTGCTGGATTGTGTCTGAGGGTGGGGTGCCCTGGGGCCTGGACAACTTTCTGTGGAATTTACTTTTTTAAAAATTATTCACATTTATATGGCAAAATGTTAATTTTTTGGATAAGAATAAAATTATTTTGATACCATGTATTGGGTGGCTGCCTTGCCCTCATTCTCCTACCTGTGCCGGGACTAGGCTGCCTCTTACCATATCCCCCACCCAGCATTTCCACCAGAGAATTCAGCTTCATGTGAAGGCAGGCACCTGTGGTCTCACCCTCTGCACACTCAGGGGAGGACCCAGCCCAGCACAAAAAGCATGAACAGATCAACCACCCCCATTTCCCAGCCTGTCTAGGTTTCCCCATTGGAAATACTTCCTGAGTGTCTTTGAGGGCGCGCAAAACCTGTATAGCCCAACACCTACCTTCAGCCCCTGCTCTCCTGCCACAGCTAGAGGCCGTTGTGGGGACACTGCTGTTTAGGGCGCTAAAGCAAGCTCTGTTGGAGGCTGAGGTTCTCAGAAGGAACGATTCCCCAAGCTCATGGCTTCTCTAGACCTAGCACTCCCCACTGGTGGGATCCAGGAGGGTGGAGCAGTGAGGGCCATGTGGAGACTCGTTGCCTGCCATGCAGTCACAGCTGTTACACTTGCATCCAGCCTCCCACAGCTCCAAGACCATCTGCTCTGTACATGCACCAGGGCAAGGGGACAGAGCCCATTGCCCCCGGGCTGTCTCGCATCAAATTGGAGTAACATAACCCTGCTCCACAGCATCTGTGGCCAGCGTGGGTCCCTCCTTGTCACTGGTGTCAAGGCAATGAGGCTGCCAGGAGCTTAGCCTCTCCTGTCTCTGAGTGAAGGGTGGGAGATAGAGGGTTGGGGATCAGGGGGACTGCAAAGGGGTTAAGGCTAAGGAGTAGGAGAGCAGCCTCAATCCCCTCCCTCCTGTTCAGTCCAAGTCCATTTACACACTAATCCAAAGCCCTAGTTCCTGCTTACTCCCATTCTTAGTCCTACCTTCTACAGCTGCTGAAAAACCAAGCCTATTTTGTTTAGTTCAGGACAGCAGAGGGCCACATCCATAGATGGGTGCAGAGAGGCACCATCTGCAGTGCTTTCTCACTGCTGAAAAATGGGGCAGCTATGCTGCATTCAACAAAGACATTTAGGCTCCCCTGCCTTCCATGGAAACCAGATGAAGTTAGAAGCTCAAATACCTGTGTATTGAAGAGAGATGCAGCCTTCCGCCTGTGAGCACAGGCCTACCCTGGGCTGCTGGACAAGTGAAGAATCTGCTCAGTTGCAGGTGGGGCGCAGAGCAGCAGCTTTACCTCTAACTTTTGTGAGTAACTGATGGAGGGAAGAGCCACTGTATGGCTGCTGCTGCTAAAGTGCTAGGCAACACTGTGTGTTGATACCCTCTGCTGCCCCATGGCCCCCATGCAATCAGTGACAGCCTGTGAAGTCAGGGTTGGGCCCCAGGACAGCAGTGCTCTAAATGTGAGTTTAGACTAAAGCCCTCAGACCATGATGGAGACAAAGACTAGCGGCTGGATTTGTGCCCCAAGCTCTCCAAAGACGCGTGTAGGGGTGGAAGGGATCATGAGAGTCCAACCTCCCTCCCTTAGCAGTCACTGCTCAACCCTTCCCCCAGCCAGCATACAGAAACACCCTGCACCAAGCTGGCCTACAGCTTTTACTGTTACCAATGCCTTTGACTCAACTCATATCAAACTGAGCAGCATCAGATGAGTGAAAAGGTCACATTAAAGGTATTAAATTAACATGATTTTAAAAAAACACCATCTAGGACGGGCCCTTCAGACAGACCATAACTCAGACAATAATTTAAATGATAAAATACACTGGCTGCTAACAGAATAACCCAAAACAAGCTACAGGCCTACTGAAAACACCAGCTGACCATGATGTGCTCTGGGTGGGTGGGGCTGTTTGCTCAGTGCAGCATGTATTACTGTGGCATCAAGTTACTGCAGGAAATTCTGGGATCTTGGCTGCTACCTGCTGGGCGCTGTAAAGCACTGGCTCCTGCATTGGCAGTAGCTGGTCACGCCAACACACTGCACAGCCTGCAGCTTTGGAAATCTCTGCTGGGGAGAGAGTGGCTACTGCCCACCCAAATCCAGGAACATCCCAAATGCCAACTCCAGCCAGCGTTCATCCTGACGTGCTTTGGAAGGACTAGGCTGGAAAGTGCCATACCAGGGTCTGTGCTGCGGATAGTAGGAGCTGACACTTGAGACATTGAGGGAATTGGGCTGGCAGCTTGTCACAGTTGTTTTACTTGTAAGGAGAGGCCCTATGGAGGGCTGGGCAAAAACAGTCTCTGAACGCACTAAGGTTCCATCTGTTACCTAAGAGGCCATTGCTGGCATGGCCTTCCCCAACCCCAGCCTGACTGCTGAATTGGATCACCCACAGGGGCGGGACATGTTTGCTATGTGTCCACCACCTGAGAGCCACAACATCATTCCAGGAGGGAGCATGGAGGGTGCAGAGATTACAGCTGCCAGCCTGCAATACCGGGGCTTGGCCCCTGGATCTAGCTGACGTGGTCCATGCTAGGATGTGTGGTCTCGGCAGTGCGTTGCCATGACACGATCCGCTGGGGTCATTGCTACAGATCATGCATAGCATGGCAATAGGAACTGTCCCCCGAGCTTCCCCCCCCCCCCATGCCTGCATGGGGGGGAAGGGGGGGCACTGTGGTGTGAGAGGAGTGTCCCTCATTTGTACTTTTGGGAAGGCCTTGCATTTTCACTAGTAAAAACCCTGAGAACATTTCCCTACATCTGCTGGTGTGAGCGCCCCCCGGCCTCCAAGCAGCCCTTGCTGGCCAGCCCTGCTGTATTGTGCAGCCACAGCATCTGTGTTAAGGCACAACTGAGTCAAGCATTTCATGTAAACACTCAAAACCTTGAAGGAAGACTCTGCCAAGCGAGTCGAGTACCATTAAGCAAGAAGCAGAAATGCTCAATTATTCTAAAAAAAACACTGGAGCCAGCCACGCCTTGCTGTCCCAGCCGCCACAGTCTGGATCATCTCCGTGAAGCTGGAGGCTTCAGTGCCACCTTCAAGGAAGCGGCCTGCTGGAAAACAGAAAGAGAGGCACCATGGGAGGGGCTGAGTTCTGGGATGCTGCTAGAGCCACCCTGGCAGTGACTGAGGGAGCGTGGCACATTGGCCCAGCCCAATGCCCTCACTTGCACAGGATGGGGAGGAACAGCTCAGTCACTATAAAACAAAACAAAGCCTGACTAGCCCGTGAGGGAGCAGGGCGTGACAGACACCCGAGCAGGGAACCTAACCAGGCAAAGGGAACTCCCCAGCCCCACTCGGTAACACAATAGCCAATCTGATTGCAGACACGCAGAGCTGGGCTCACTTGGGGCTGGCTGGATTGACATGTCAGGGCAGCAGGTTTGGCAGGTGGGATAGGCAGAGCTGACCATTTGGTCCCCTCCATGCTACAGCCATTCAGCTTATCTGCCTTACACTGGCAAGACAACGAGCATTCCTTTAATGTGAAACGTTTGGGATCAGCATCCATTTCAGCTGCAAAAACTGGCAGCTGTTCTCCCAGAAACTGCTGCTATCAGAATAGTCAGGCCATACCACTGTAGTGGTGTGGATGCAGCAAAACTGACCCCAGCACTCCTGCCTCTGCCCCCCACAGGCCCAGCATACCACGCTGCCCGTTCCAAGGGTTGACGCTGGCAGGC